AGTGTATTTGAACCTCATTTCGTTTGGGCCGTGTCAGATAACCTTTAATGCATTTGCTAATGTTTCTTATTTACCTTTCAAGTTGCCAGCAAGAAATAATGGCTTGACAGAAAATATCACAGCTGGGGGCTTGCTGAGCTTTTTTTTTATTATTATTTTTGGATTTTTCCCCGTGCTTTTGAAAATTATTCGGTCAAGTAAGCACTTCTTATATTCTTCCCGGGGAAGGTGTTTTGCTTTTTCAGTCTCTGGCATGAGAATAAACTCGTGGTACTACGAACTGATTCATGCTGCTATTCTGTGGCACCGAGTAGTTTGGGTTTTACTGTTGCATAGTAGGCAGAGTCTATTTTTAACCAGAGTAAGGTTATGAAACCTTAGACCCAGCTGAGTGAAAATAATCTGGTTGGAAGTGGAAAGCACGGGCTCCCGCGCCTGGGAATACTTGCGGGGAGACGGACCAGCTCCCGCTCTCTCCCTCGGAGGGTCTCGCCGGGCTGAGCCGCCGCTTGGCGCTCGCCGAAAGCAGCCCGGGCGCTCGCCGAAATTGGGAAGCGTCAGAGCGGAGGCTGCGACAGCGGCACGAGGGAAACCGCTTAAGTAAATATGCAGAGAATTAAAATAGTTAAATGAATGAGCCATGAATCAGGGCTGATAGCAGGCTGATTATTAAGTAACCCAGAGGCGTTGCTGGAAGCACCGCCGTGGTTAGATGTCAAGTGTGTCAGAGAGCTAAAGGAAAAGCTCAGCTTCGCACCAGTTTTTAGTAATACTCACCCCAAGGTCATCTGAGCTGCCGAGAGCGGCGGCATGCGGACGAACACCCAGCGCCTCGCCGGGAAAGAGGGCAGAAATTCCCCCCCGGTGACTCCAGCGTGGCTCCCTGAGCGTATCCAGAGTCATACCTGACCGAAATACGTGGTGGGGTTTTTAAAACTAGTATGTACTCCGGCTAGACCTGCGCAGCCACTGCAGGTCTGGGGGAGGGAGCTGGATGCGATGTGACTCATGCCTCGGCAGAATGGTTCGCCCGCTTCCAGCGCCGGATCGTGATCCGTGCTGTGCCGGCGAGAGTCCGCCTCGACTTCCAGGGCTCGTTGCGCCGGTGAAGTCAGGAGATGGGCTCAAAAAGTGAAAAATAGATACCTCTAGTGCGTTGCACAGGAGAGGTTTCATCCTTAAGTTTTTGAGTTTTGTTCTTTTTTAAACCACATTGCTTTGCAGAGGAAAGTTGGCTTCAAACTATTCCTGCACAGATTTGGGATGCTTTGATGCTTTGGGATGCTCCACAGGCAGAAGACCACCAGTTGAAAGCATCCTTGCTCATAGAGGTCCTCCAGCAACGCTGGAGGAGCTGGAGTGGGGAAAACTGGGCTGCCAGCGAACACCGACGCTGCAAACGCTGGCCTGACTCGGAGAAGTTCATTTGCCTCACTTGCCTTGTTGCATCCCGCAAAGTGTGTAGAAAGCCCAAAAATAAAACTCAGAAACTTCTTATCCACATACTTGTGCACAAAACCATAATGTCTCTTTGTGCAGTTTGTTATAAATAGACCAACTGGACACTGATACGGGTTTTGGTTGCCTTCCTCTCTGCTTGGCTAAACAAATGCCAAACCTTCTTAAATCTAAATGACTCGAAATATTTACAGCTGATATGTCGTCCAAGAGTAGGATAGTTAAAACATTAATTCCTTGCATTCCAGTGTATTAGGGCTTTACCCTGCAACTTGCTGAGCGCCAGAAATAGGACTTAGCAGATTCAGTTCCCTTCCCCCCAGCTAGGCAGCCACCCCCACCCACTCCCCCCACCTCAACTTTAATGCTCAAAAAAAAAAAAAAAAGGAGGGAGAGGGAGAAAAAGAAAGGAATGCACATCTGGGCTAAATATTTGTTAGAAAGTATTCCCAGGATAGTGGGAGTTCTGGTGCCAGAGAGGAATTCCTGCGGGTTTGATCCATTGCATTATGTACTTGTTCCAAAAGCTGTTTTCAGTAAAATAGATGAGTAAGAAGTCTTAGCCAAGAACAGAATGTCTTTTTTGGCAACTAAAAGGAAGATAGGATTATTTTATTTCAGGTTATGTAAAAAAAAAAAAAAAGAGGAGGGGAGAGAGAGAGAGAGAGAGAAGGTGGTAAAATCCTCCTGCACTCCGTGGTGCTTGGAGAGATTTGCGACTGCAAGCACAGGAGATCTTTTTCCCTTGCATGCTGCTATGCACATTCTTGTGACTTCTATGTAAGTGTATGGCTATAAATGTGGATTTGAGGTCAAGACTTGTGGAATTACCGCAATTAAAATATCCTCACTGCGTCTGAATTGTCCTCTGGGGTTTTTTGGCTGAATGTCCAGCAGTTTCGGCGACATTGGTTTCAAGGCGCCGCTCGAGTCGCTGGCGTGAGTTCTGCTCCCAAAGGCTGGGGTCAGGAGGGGAAAGCGGTGGCTTTGCCTTGACAATGCTGTAGGATTTTTTGGGGGGGACGGGACATGGATGTATGTAGACAGTGATGGCTGCAGCCTCACTGTATCTATAGCTCATGAGACAGATCTGAAAATTTGACCTGGAAAATGTTCCAGCCTAAAATCAGGGAACTGGAAGAGAGGGAAGGCGTGATAGGAGAACAGGACTGCGTTTTGGTTGGTGGGCAACAGGTTCTCCAGCAGCTTTCTCCCGTTAGTTGAGAATCATGTTTGCGTGATACTTACCTTGTGCTGACAAAACAACAGGTATTTTGAATACTACAGTATGCCAGAGTTTTTTATTTTCTGTATACTTGTCTTATTCTTATAGATGGGAGAGATGCGTGCACCTTCTTTCTTTCTTCTGTTCGACACGCCTAATCAAGGATGATCATTTTTTATGGGGGAAAAAAAACCCTTGCACTATCCAAAACACAGCTTCCTTGGCTCTGGCTTTGTGTTTGTGTTAGTCTGGATGGTTTACTTGAGACAATACTTGGTTTTTCTGCTGCGTGGTTTGCAGGGAGGCGATGTCGCTCACGATAAGTGACGGATGCTATTGTGTTAGCAACTCGAGTCATGCAGACCAGTTAAACTATGTAAAAACGGGTGCCATCCTTTGTTCTGCTGTTCCCTTTGCCTTGGGTGTTTCTAACCCTAGTTTTTTTGGCTCGGCGTTGGAAAGGTCTTGATGCTCCTCAACGGTGGCAGCAGCCTTTCCCTCCTCCCAGCCAGATACGTCACTGGAGGCAGGACCTGGGGCCGCGCCGAGTAAGCAGGGAGACGGGTATCTGCGCTTGGGGAGAGGCGATCCCTTGAGGGGAGGTTTCAGCCCTTGGATGGGCTACACTCGGGAGGTGGTTGTGGCCAGTGGCACCGCAGGTGGTCCGGGAGCAGAAATCACGAGGGTAGTAAGTCTTACGAAGCAGCCATTCGCATTGGCGTGGTGGGGGGAAGAGGGGGTCCTGCAGCGAGTGAGCTTGGCCAGTCCGACGTTATTTCCCTGGGACTTATCTTCATTTTAGCTGCGTGACCTTGACTACTCTACCAGCCTCCTGCATCTCCTGGAAAGCTTGGATGTAGTCAAAATTATACCCACGCCCATTCGTGTTTTGGTTTTTGCTACTTTTTGCAAATCCTTCTGCACAAGGGCGCTCGTCTTTGCTGTTCGCTGCCTGCTCTGCTTGCGCAGGGACTTCTCAGAGGGCTTCTTTCTCCCTCCAGTGGCTCTGAGGTGGCATCGGTGGCTGGTGACGGAGCTGCTGTTCTGGAGGCTGGGGCTTCGCAGGGAGCC